GTCGGCCTTCGAGGTCTGTCTCCTTGTCCCTTTTTCGCTACTCGCCTTCGATCTCATACTGACTTTGTCGATCGTCGTGGAGTAGCAGGTGGTGATCCGCCTCTGGTTAAAGAAAGAAAAAAAAGATCTCCCCTACCCGTTGATGATCGATCCCACCTCGTCCTCACCCCGCCCCGGTTGTTCGTCTTCCCCCGCGTTATGAAGCACCATGGCCGACCCGAGCATGTATAACTCTTTCGGCCAAGGGCCAGTGCCTGGTGAGGCCTCGACCGATCCCAACCGTACAGCTCATCAGGTTCCTCCACAAGGCTATCCTGCCGCTGGTGTTCCTCCCGGTCCTTCCCCTCCTCAGCCCGGTGCTATGTACGGAGCCCCTCAACAACAACAATGGTCCGGATATGGGGCCCCTCCGCCAGCCCAGCAGCCTCTGCAACCGCCCCACGGTCAATTCGCCTATCAAGCCGATCCGATGGCTGCCGGAGGTGTGTCTCCAGATCCCGCGATGGCTGGTTTGGCATCTCAGATGAGTGGGTTGGGCATAATTGGAAGTGAGAGCGGGGCTCGGACGTCGAAGAAGAAGCATCGTCACGCACACCACGAGATTGCAGGAGCGTCGACCTCGGCTTCGCAGTCACTCGGCGCAGTCCCTCAAGCCGGTATACCGCCACCGTCGCAATTCCTGAACACCGGGCTGAATCAGGCCGCACGTCCTATTTCCCCTGCGGCCGGGATCCCTGCTCCAGTGAACCCGGCGCTCGGAGGAGCCGATGTAGGCTCCGTTCCCACACAGGGCAAGATTGATCCAGAGCAGATCCCCAGTATTCCTCGGTCTCGCGACCTTCCGGCTCAGTACTACTTCAACCATGTGTACCCGACGATGGAACGGCACCTTCCTCCACCGGCAGCGGTTCCTTTCGTGGCGCACGACCAGGGCAACTCCTCCCCGAAATATGCCCGTCTTACATTGAATAATATCCCTTCGACATCGGATTTCCTTTCTGCTACCGCACTCCCCTTGGGCATGATCCTGCAACCTCTAGCCCGTCTCGACCCCGGCGAGCAACCCATTCCCGTGTTAGATTTTGGCGACGCCGGACCGCCGCGATGCCGCCGGTGCAGAACATATATCAATCCGTTCATGTCATTCAGATCTGGAGGCAACAAGTTCGTCTGTAATATGTGCACATTCCCCAACGACGTAACGGCGGACTACTTCGCGCCTATTGATCCCTCCGGGTCCCGTGTCGATCGCATGCAGCGTCCGGAGTTGATGATGGGAACTGTCGAGTTCCTGGTTCCCAGAGACTACTGGAACAAGGAACCTGTTGGTCTCCAGTGGCTCTTCTTGATTGACGTCAGCTTGGAATCGGTCAATCGGGGTTTCTTGAAGGGCGTATGCAAGGGTATCATGGAAGCTTTGTACAGCGAGGAGCCTTCGGAGAATGTGGACGATGAGTCTGCGGCGCGGAGAATCCCCGAGGGTGCTAAGATTGGAATTGTCACTTACGACAAGGAAGTTCACTTCTACAATCTCAGTGTATGTGTGCAGCTCCCACGGCTGGGATCGAACAATATGCTCACGAATCCATAGGCACAGCTTGACCAAGCTCAAATGATGGTGATGACGGATCTCGAAGAGCCCTTTGTCCCTCTCAGCGAGGGACTGTTTGTTGACCCTCACGAATCCAAGTATGCTCCCCGGTGGTCGCGACTCTGGTGAATATCACTGACATGAGACACAGGAATGTCATTACCTCTCTGTTACAACGAATCCCCACAATCTTCTCCCGTGTCAAAAACCCACAGCCCGCGTTGCTTCCTGCTTTGAATGCCGCTCTCTCTGCATTGAGACCTACTGGTGGTAAAATCATCGGCACAATTGCCAGCCTACCTGCATGGGGCCCTGGTGCTCTTTCACTGCGGGATGATCCCAAGGTCCACGGAACCGACGGGGAAAGAAAGCTGTTCACGACGGAACACACGGGCTGGAGAGAAACGGCCGGCCACCTGGCAGAGGCTGGCATCGGCGTCGATATGTTCATCGCAGCGCCGAGCGGCACATATATGGATGTAGCGACGATCGGTAAGCTCTGATTGCCACCTTCCCCACAATCAGCTGCTAATGTTTCAAAGGTCATGTTCCCGAGGTGACGGGTGGAGAAACGTTCTTCTACCCTAACTTCCATGCGCCCCGCGATATCCGCAAGCTGTCTCAAGAATTGGCCCATGCGGTCACGCGTGAGACGGGCTATCAGGCTCTGATGAAGGTCCGGTGCTCCAACGGCCTTCAGGTGTCTGGATACCATGGCAACTTCGTGCAACACACGTTTGGTGCCGACCTCGAGATTGGAGCCATCGACGCCGACAAGGCAATTGGGGTAACCTTCAGCTACGATGGAAAGCTCAATCCCAAGCTAGACGCTCATTTCCAGGCTGCTCTGCTATACACCTCGGCTAATGGTCAGCGGCGAGTGCGGTGTATCAACACTGTGGCGGCAGTCAACGAGGGCGGTCTGGAAACCATGAAATTTGTGGATCAAGATGCAGTAGTCAGCATGATTGCCAAAGAGGGTAAGACATTCTTCTCTATTTGGGTGATGATGGTCACTAATAGAATTCAGCGGCCTCGAAAACGGTGGACAAGTCCCTCAAAGATATCCGGGCCAGCGTTACGGAGAAGAGTGTGGACATCTTCAGTGGTTATCGGAAGATCTTCTCCGGCTCGCATCCTCCGGGTCAGCTGGTACTGCCGGAGAATTTGAAGGAGTTCTCAATGTACATGCTGAGTCTCCTCAAGTCACGCGCCCTGAAAGGTAGAACCGCGTTTGCCGTGCTGAAAAAGAGAGACAAACACTAATTATCGAGTAGGGGGCCAGGAAGCGTCTGATCGGCGGATTCACGACATGCGGATGCTCCGCTCCATCGGCTGCACGGAACTGTCTTTGTACCTGTATCCCCGCATCGTCCCCATCCACAACATGCAGCCGACGGATGGGTTCCCCAACGAACAGGGTCAACTACAGGTGCCCCCCTCACTGCGGGCCAGCTTCTCGAAAATAGAGGAGGGCGGGGCGTACCTGGTGGACAATGGCCAGCAGTGTTTGCTGTGGCTACATTCGCAGGTGTCACCCAATCTGCTGGAAGATCTGTTCGGTGAGGGCCAGAACTCGCTGCAAGGGCTGAGTCCCCAAACGTCGACCATTCCCGTGCTGGAAACACACCTGAATGCGCAAGTGCGCAACCTGCTCCAGTACTTGTCGACCATCCGGGGCTCCAAGGCGGTGACCATCCAGTTGGCCCGCCAAGGGCTCGACGGCGCGGAATACGAGTTTGCTCGTATGCTGGTGGAAGACCGCAACAACGAGGCCCAGAGCTACGTAGACTGGCTGGTGCACGTCCACCGGCAAATCAATCTGGAGCTGGCGGGGCAACGCAAACGCGACGATGCTGTGGGAGAGGGGGGGATCACAAGTTTGGCGGGCTTACGAGCACCTTATTGGTGAAGACCCCGGAATTGATATCTAACCATTGAAACTACTATCCATGTCCGAACGGTGATGAGGAGAAAGGACGGACTTCTAGGGAGGGGTAAACGAGGATGAAGGAAGAAAGGGAGTGGGAGGGGGTTGGACGCGATGGCGAAATTTCATTTACACATGCAGCAGTGATCATTCCAGTTATACCACGGTTAAGCGTTTGAACCACTTGAACCCATACAGAGAAGCCCGTGAGAAGGTTTCTACTTTGTTGTTTGGGTTTTTTGACTTTTTTTTTTTTTTTTTTCTTTCTTTCTTCTTAGAAAATCCCTCAGGAACAGGCAGGTAAAGCGTAGCAATGACGGATGATGTAGCCTCTTATGATTGGGTTGGATTCGAAACCCTGTCAGGCAAGGCAGACGACAGGGTAGGAGGTGAGAAGCGAAGGGAGAAAACAAACGAGCTCTGGAAAGAGCGGGGAGTCTAGAACCCGGGCCGGGAAGAATGGAAGAAGGGGAAAAGGAAGTGCGAATTAACTTAGGGCGGCGGCGGAGACTAATGGGAATTAGTCTAGTGGACGGTGAGAAAAGTGAGTGAGTGAGTGAAGAATTTTTGCACTTGCATGAAAAAAAAAAAAGCCTAGGATCCACTTTTAAGGGGGGCCTTGGGAACTTGGCATCGACAATGGGGAACCTCTGGGAACCTCATTCATTCGAAGAAGGAAGAAGTAGAAGAAGAAGAAGAAGAACAAAAAGAGACAGCCGACAAAGATGAAGTTCGGGGAGACCCAAATTGTTTTCCCTGTCAGCCGAAAGGCAAGGACTTTTGCAGACAGAGCCATGGTAAAGATCTCCTTCTTCACCCATTCTTTGAGTCCCGAAGGCAAAGAGAGAAAGGAAGGAAGAAACCCGAGTTTTTGGTTCGGAGCTTCAGACCGGAGGAGGGGGAGTTTGCTGTCTGTCGGCTGCGGTTATATTGCCACGCGATGCCTGGCGGGGTGCGACCCTTATTGCCACCGGACCAAGACACGGTAAAGATTATTCCCATTGCAATGAGGCTGGTTCGGCACACACAGCTTTAGTGCTGACCACGGCTATGGGAATCAACCCCACACCACGCTGAGGAAAAAGAATGCCGCAAAGAGAAAGTATGCAGTGAAAATGCGTGTGAATGACGCCTATTTTTGGGGTTCAATCACAATCACAAGCACAATCACTACCCCGTACGAAGTACGATATACTCACATGGGAGGGAATCAAATTCCTATCAGCTAGTGATTGTATACGATACAGTCAATACAATGTAGGTAGCAAGCAGCCGATGACGAGTCACACTTCGTATGGATAATTGATACTATTGAATATTGCTGAAGGATTGTCCTACATACGGAGTATCTACCAATGTATATGCACGGTGTATTCCATGCTCGGCTCACACACCGCAACGGGCAGGTTTACAGGCTGCAGCACCTGTCAGCTTTTCATTCTCAATGGCTACAGTACCTACTACAGTACCTACCTACAAGTAACTTCTACTCAGTACTCAGTACTGTGTGCATGATCAATACTTTTGACGGTCTTCAAGCCCCACTATATCTCGTGGCGCTCAGGAACTCTCGCTCTCTCCACTTCCACCACTCTCCAAGAAGCCTCAGGGATCCAATCCACGTCACACCTTTTTCTGGTTCGCTTTTCCCTCTTTGCCTCTTTTTTTCATTCGGGGTTTATTCCATTTTGGCCTTTTTTTTCTTCTCTTTTCCGCTCAAACAAAGTTTTACCCCTGCGCCATCGCGGGTCATCGTTCGGTTGGTACACCGTAATCGCCAGGCACTCAGCCCGATGACAAGGCCGATGCGTGGGTGACTTGCCCCCCCCCAATTTGTCTATATAATGGCCTTCATTCGCACGTCTCAGATCGACTCTTTCTTTTCTGCATCCATCGACACTCTCTTGTTCGTACGGTTTGGTTTTAGATCTTTTGATCTGTCACTCTCTTAGATCTGCAGCGCAGATTCGTCCTTCTTTACTACATCAGTCCACTCTCTTATCCTTCTTAAAGGATTCCAAAACCCACATCTTCCGTCGTCGTTCAGACATCATATCCCAATCAGCACGCTCGTCTCTCTCTTCCATCTACAAGATGTTCTTCAAGACTGCTCTCGTTGCCTCCGTGGCTGGTCTCGCTGCGGCCCTCCCTCACACCCGTCGCCAAAACAACGCTGGTGGTGGTGTCACCATTGTCAACAACATTGGATCCGACGTCTACGCGTGGTCTGTTTCTGATAGAGTCAGTAACATGGAGACCCTTTCTGCGGGCGGCGGATCCTACACCAGCAGCTGGCAAACCAACGACAACGGCGGTGGCATTTCCATCAAGCTCTCCACCTCCCAGTCCCAGGCCGACGTCCTGCAGTTCGAGTACACCCAGTCCGGCGACACTATCTTCTGGGACATGTCCTCCATCAACCTGAGCCCCGACTCCGACTTCGTCAGATACGGCTTCAGCGTCGTTCCCTCCTCGGGTGGCGGCAACTGCCCCACCGTGACCTGCTCTGCTGGCAACACCAACTGCCAAGAGGCCTACCAGCAGCCCGATGACAACCACGCTACCCACGGCTGCCCCATTGACACCAGCTTCACCCTGACCCTGGGTTCCGGCTCTTCGTAAGGTGTCAAAGAGGACCCCAAAGCCAGCCTGCCAACTTGCTTCGACGACGACTGCAGCCCGAGGGGCTTTGCTTTGCTTCTTTCTTCTCCTCTCTCTATTTTTTTTTACTTTCTTTGACTTCTTCTACATGCTCAACCATGTAGTCATCGTCCCCCACTTTGACTTCTATGCCTACCGGAAACCAGCGAGTGGAGTTGGAGTCGGCTAGATCGACTTCCAACGACGCTTCTGTGCTTCTCGACGAGGTTTTTTTCTTCTTTTTTTTTTGACTTCCTTTCCCTTGATTCCCACCCCCCAGTTTGTTATGAGAGAACCAAAGGAAATCAGCCTGCTGTTGCCACGCTCATGTCTTTATGATGTACGCAGTGATTTGACATCACACGAATGACGGATAGACCCCGAATAGACAAAAAGAATGACTACTGCTTTCGTTAACCAAGCCATTTGACAGTAACTGAATGACTTTTCAAACAGTAATCCTAATCCGACTGGGTACTAGCAATTGAGAATGCCTTCCTTGATCTACTAATATTTCCTAGCTGGCTGGTCACCTCTGGCACCCTCAGTATCCCCCTTGACTCTTGAAACCAGTGCAAGACTCAATTGTTGACATGGAAGGAAGAAACAAGACAAAAAACAAATCCGCAGATCCAAAACCAACAAACCAATCCAATCCCTCATAAAACCCTCCCACTCCTCTCCCTTTGTATGGTCCTTTGACCCCTTGTCCTGGTCCTTGTCCCTGTCCTTTTATTTCCTTTATGATATGTGGCTGGACCACAAAACTGACACGTAACAACAGGACACAGGATATACCCCTCTGTGCCTCAAATTGCCAAAGCCACATCGACATTCAAACCAATGAATTGGTGGGGGGGGCAGCAACAAGTTTCGGACAAGTCACACGGCACATATTCCGGTACACGCTTCCTCCATGCTGAGTGCTAGTGCTAAGTGCCAATCAATACATCGACTGCTAGCATCTCCGAGATGCTGCAGGTACTATGCAGGTACTGGTCACACAGCAGCCAGACTTTCCAGCCTAACGACTTGTGACAACATGCTCTCCCGGCCGGAGTTAATTAAGGTTGCGGTGTGGTGTGGTGTGTTGTTGTTGATGACAGCCACTAAGGGGGATTGATACTTCGGGATACGGAACATCATCACACATCAAAAGGAAACCTGACTTCTACCCTGTCGAGGCAGAGGAAGACCCCGCCGGGGAGGGGGGGGGAGGGTTCATTACCCCCGGGCCCATCCTATTCCTTCCTTTTTTTCTTCGTTGGAGTCCATGGAGCACACTGGCAAGGAAGGAAGGAAGGAAGGAACTCAATTACTCATATGAGTACTGTAATTCCATTGATGACGCCATATCCCTCATTCTACAAAAACCCAATGGGGCTAACCCGGCGGCAGTGGGCGGATGAAAGGGACAGTCAGAAGGGAAAAAGGAAGGAGGGGCGAAAAATACCCTCTCGAAAAAAAAAAAAAATCCAATGGACTGTGCGGCGCCGCGCCTGGACCCTCGACCAAAAAGCCAAGTCCCGTCAAGAGAGTCGAATTCGATCCAGAAGAAGTGGGGCTGGGCCCCCCTCCATCGCTCCATCTGGTCCATCGACCAATTCACCCACTCCCGCCCGCCTCATTATTGTTCCAACCTGGGCTTTGGGCCTTTGATGGCCGTGGACGGAAAGAGGACTCAAGGAGGTCCACTTTTGCCTAACTATCTGGTTTGGGGATTAGATAAGCATGGCTTTTTGTTGTTCTATCTTGTTGTTCTTGGTTTGTTTGGGGGGAGTGTGATGCGGGGAGACGATGATACTCTAATTTGGGGGTTCAACTTGCTTTGTTCGCGTGATGATAGTGGTCCTGTGGTTGTGTTGTGTTATGTTGTCGGAGGAAGAGGAGAGAAAGAGACAGACAGACAGGCCAGTGAGTCTTTACCAGCGTAGTGGATCTCACAGCCGCCCACACGATGGCCACGCATTATTGCTGGCCCAGATTCATTGATCAATGGCCATCCACGAATCGGGGCTTAACTCTATTGCAAGGTCCATTGTCATTCGTGCCCCATAGTTGGCCTGGGGATTAGTCAGGCACTGGGTGCATTGTCACTGGTCGCCGGTCACTGGTCCAAGGCGGTTGATTTCTTGACGTAGCCACCACCGCAACTTATCACGGTAATCTTAATCAAGCTGATGACTTGATAGTTGTTCATCGAGGACTTGTAACTCAATCAAGTTTTGCTGGCAAAAACTGGGCAGATTCAGGTAACTCAGCATGCTCGAGTGTACAGTGTATACAGGCTTACAGTGTAGAAGTGTGGATTTTCCAACCCCTCCTCCCCAATCCCGGCAATTCACCGTGAACATCACAATCCCGCCATCTTCCGAGAAACGAATCACAGGGTTCAGTCGGTGAACCCTGACACTGTCAGGTTGGCATGCTTTCCAAGGTTCGGGATATGGCTAAATTCTAGGGCCTCGCTCGTGAGCGAGAGCAGGAGAACCGTGGTGTGGCAACTTCTGATGAATCCTCGGCTGAATCTGCTTATGTACACAGTAGACGCATGGCGACTGGCCACCACCATCGGAAGTCGTAGTGGAGCAAATTACCTGACTGGTTTGTCAGTCAAGTGCTGGAACTCATGGGGAAATATTCAGGCGTGATTCCCAAGAATGCCATTAGTGGGAATATGAAATTAGTATGAAGTTGGTGGTGCATATTACTAACCGGCCTATACACTGCGGCCTCACACGAGCACTCAGGACGCCAGTACATCCGGGCTCTTCTCGGAAACCCTGCCCACCCCACTGGATTGGGAACCGGAATAGAAGGCCTTGCGCTGTACTCCCTACCCCATACTCCAGACTGAATTCTGTCCAATTCAATCGGATCAATGGTCTGGTCGGCAGGGAGTAGATCTGTACAGTCCCTCATCTCTGTTCAACGGCGGAAGACAATGCATATACCCGCGCGCATGATTGTGCACTGTAGGTAGTTAGGTGGCTCCTGTCATATCATCATGTGAAACTGCCGCGGTTTCAAGTTCCCCGACTTCAGTCTTCAGTCTCCAGTCTCCAGTTCCCGTTGGAAATTAAGCTTTTCATAGTTGCTGTCATTAATGGACCAAGTGCGGAGTGGTGGTGTACATGTGATGTGTTTGATAATGGGGCTTTTGTGGAGGGATGATATACAATTCAGTGAATGAACTATGTCGGCGGTGCTGGGGACCGGCCGGTGGACACCCAAGAGTATAACTTAGGGTGATGGATGGGTTTTGCGAATCCGGCCGTGACGCCCTTGCTTATTTGGTTTCCCGTGGGTTTCTAAGGACTAAGTAACCATGTAGTGGTAGCTAAGGTACTCCATAGTTTGCTTCAAATTCCGTTGTCGGAGCTTGTTTCCCAGAAGGAGGATGGAACAACCTTCTAGCATCTGTATACCAGAATTGAGAATCAAATCTTATACGGCAGTTACCTATCCCCAGTCATCCAATATATTATTCAGCCATCCAATTATCCAACTCTCCAACCCCAACCCCTATTCAACTGATATTGCAGGTATACTATGCAGTAACTAACCCCCAAGACACCGAACAACCCTCCAAATCGATACCGAACACACCCACCCTCGCCGATGAAACAACCGCCTGAAACACTAACCCAGCCACACAAAGAAACCAACCACCAAAGAACTGCCTCAGCCACTCCTCACCTCACCGCATTTGACAGTCAATCACCTACTCCCATCTAGCAACCCAAGCCAGCCAGCCACCTTTCTTCCCCGAGAACAGTTGTAACCAGTAGTCGGTCACACAGGTAGTACTAACTTAGAGCATCGAATACTCAAAATCCCAACCAAAGATCGACACCTCACCCCGAGACAATAGCCTCTCCGTATCCATTTATAGAGACAAGAAGGGAGAGCTGTGCACTTGGCTTGCTTTGTATTCATAGAAAGGGGAAAGGGGGGAAACCCCGAGAGGGGCGGTGTAAATGGCGGCACCTGGAAATAGATCCTACCAAGTGACTACTGTCTGTACATGTCGGGTTATTTTGGAATTGGATGGGTGTGGTGTATACGATCTACTCCGTCGTGAGGAGGGGTTATTGAAACAGTTACTCCGTAGTTCGATAATGCATGGCAATCGTCGCTGCTGTGGCTGTGGCTTGGTTGTGGTTGTGGTGGACGATGTGACGTGTGCTATTGATTGGGAGTGAGTTTGCTATACGAGTCATATTGGCTGTGGGTTGCAAATGCAGATTACAGGTTACAGGTCATAGGCTGTCAAGGAGCGGGGAGAGAGAGGGTTGGGTTGCGGGTTTGGTTACGGATTATCCTATACAAGAAGGGTGGTGAGGGGAATGAAGACTTGTAAGGCGGCTGGGCTGGATCGGGATGAATAGTAGCAGGTGTTGGTAGTCATCTGTCTCGCAACTTCTAAGACTTGGGATTTAAGTACCAGTACTTAGGGATATAGTCATTGCGTAGTTGTACTCAAAAAGACCTATATTGAAGTACCGTAAGAACAAGCAATCATGCATATTGCTTAGACGACATGCATGCATTAGCTACACGGAGATGTCCGAGCACTCCCCAAATCTCATGATAGATTAGATCAAAGCTCGTCTTGCACAGATACACACACACATCCACAAAATTGTACAGATTCGCATCCCGACCGGAAATATCAATCAACTCCCCGAGACCACTGCCAGTCCCTCATAGATCTTCTGCTTCACCGCCAGGAAACTACCCGCCCCTTTACGCCCGGGGACCATCGCTGCTGACTGCGCCGATGCCTCGATTTCAATCCGGCCCGTCGCCGACTTGCGCACGGCCACCATCCCATCGATCAACAGCGTTCCCTCCCCCCTGAACTCCGCAGTGTGCCCGGCCCCCTGCATGAGCTTTCGTAAATCCGCCAAACGGAGGTCGCCCACGTGGAGAGGCCGGGTCATGGATCGCGTTCCCGCCGCCATGTTGGCCGGCAGAACATCAAGCAAGGGGTAAATATCGGATTTGTCGGTCGGCGGCGGCGGTGGCGGTGGCTGCTGCTGCTGCTGCTGCTTTGTCGACTCGGCTTCAGAATCCGTGGCAGGATTCGTCTCCTCCTGCGGCAACACCTTCTGCTTCTTGTGCGGGCCCTCCTGATCCTGTTCTGCTGTTGCGGGCTGAGGCTGAGACTCAGGGCCCCGAAGCTGTCCCGTCAAGGTGACCACACCCAGGCTGCGTACATGCTGCCACTTCAACCGTCGGAACAGGTGGTTGCTCAGCTTGACCATCCAAGCGTTCGTGTCAACACTGGCGTCGACCGTCTCTCCGTTGACCGGAGTGAAAATCACTGCCGAATCCGCGGATGCGGGGACGTCGGCGTCGACCTTAGCTGCAAGGAGCTTCTGGCATTCGTCGGCCAGGGCCGTCGTCTCCTGTTTCATGCCTCCGACCAGGATCAGCTTGCGAGGTTGAATCAGTGGAATGAGCATCTCTAAGCTGCGCTTGTCATGCAGACCGGTGAAGTCCACAAACGCGAGGCGCGCTTTGATGGTCAGGCTCGCCTTCTCGAAGACGACCTTGGCCGGCCCTTCAAATGCCTGACCTTCCGGCTCATCGTCAGAAGAGGCAGCTGCATCAGCGGCCTCGCCGTCTTCCATAACGCTCAGCTCATCCGCTGTGCTGATATCCTTCTTCGAGGCCTCGCCTTGTCCTTGGTGGCGCTTGCCACCACTGCTAGACAAACGGCGTCCATTCGGTCCGCTTTCGTCCCATCGTCGCTTTTGTCCTAATCTCATCTGGGAGTCGGTCCGACGTTGCTGCATATCAGCTTCCTCGCGCTCCTCCGCCCGAAGATATTCCTCGGGTCTGATGAATTCACCATACTCATCACCCCGCTTCCGAGGAGCCACGTAGGGGAACATCCGCTCGCGGCCCTTTTTGCCTCGGACGTCGTAGTCATAGACGTTCTTCCGTCGTAAGAGGATGTTGACACCAAGATCTTCATCCCTGAGCCCCAGCTTACTGCGGTTACCATGAGCTAAGGTTGTGGACAGGGTCAATACCCTTCCCTGCTGCTCGGTCTCCGAGTCTTCTGATGACGAACTAGATTGGTCGTCAAGTACGTCTGCGGCAGGGTCGGCGTTCTCCTGCCCTCCTGTTTGAGTGGTATCTTCCAGCTCTCTTTTTGTAGCGAGGTACTGTTGGTAAAGCATTTGCTCACCAGCGTCGAGAGGCGCACGGCGCACCTCGGACCATGAGAGCTCTCTTCCACCACTGTGCACCTGCTCCAGCATCTCGCCGTCCGCGGCCTTCTCAAGTGCAACTCCATCCTTCCTTTCTTCGTACCATTCCCAGATCATGCCGCCAAGAGTCTTCCTGTGACGGTTCTCCCGATGATTACTGGAAACTTTCTCCTTGTGTAGAGGCTCAGTAAGAAGCAGCAGGTTGTTGGCGCCGTCGGCTACCAGGCGAAGCGACTCCTTTGCGAATCCCCAATCCAGCGACGTATCAGAGGCCAGAATTACCTTTGGTGTCTGGTCGGTGAGGATCTTCTCGAGTCGCTTCCTCTTTTCGATGATCTTGAGGTGCTTGAATGTGAACGGTCCCACCCCTCTGCCCTCGGTCTTGTTTTGTCCTCCGGACCGCGGACCGTCGTTGTTCGACTGCGCCTGGCCCGTTGTCGCATCAACTCCTTCCGCAGCTTCAAACTCGCGCACTATGTTCTCATCCATCCATTCCAGCATGCTCCTCGCAAGTCTCATGGTTGTGTTGGCCTTCTTGCCCGCCATGTACAATCCTGCCTTTCGCAGCACATCGTCGCCCTGACCAGTGCCCGCTGCATCGCGCCAGGCGTGCTCCAGCGCATAGACCAGCTCCAGAACACGAGCACTAGTATCCGTCGGGATCAAGACCGTGCCGCCCTTGGCAACCGTGCTCCGAATCATGTCAAGGAGCAGGTCGTCGCGCTTCTTCCGTCCGCCAGGGAGAGCAAACTTCTCGCCTCCGCGGGTACTACACACGAGCGCTGTTGGCTTGCGCAGCTGCTCGATGACCTCCGTCCCGCTTGCACCCGAGCCGCCGAACCACGCCGCTCCCGCCACGACACTCTCGCGGGCCTGGTTCCAGTCGACCGCGTAGACGATAGATTCCATTCCATGCTGGATATGCCATATCGTCCCACCCACGGTGTGTCCAGCATTGTAAGCAGTCAAGGTCAGGCTGTCCAGAGGCGGGGACCAAGGGGAACGGAGCGGTTGGTGAGGTTGCGAGTATTTCAATGGATGAATCAGCGAGAAGTAGCGCGCGATGTCTTCGGCGGTGGGGGCTTGGAGCAAGATGCGACCTGCATGTGCAGCCTCGGGGCTTTCGTCGCCTTCGACGACGGATGCTGCGGCCGACGCGGCGGAAGTGGATGCTCCAGATTCCGAGATCGGGGATTCGGGTAGGAATGTCGCAGCCAGAGGCGAGGATGCATATAGATCTTGAAGAAGTGTGCGACCGAGGGCAATGACGGGACTCGTGGCGTAGACAGGGATCTTAGTGAACGAAGGGAAGGTCTTGCAGCAGTGGGCAAAGGCACCGATGTGGGCAGGGGTCGCGTGAGTTAGGAGGATCAACGATATTGTAGGAACGTGTCTGTTGTGTAAAATATGAATGATTAGAGAGGATTGTTTTCATCAGAGAGCTCAGAATATCTCAAGGAACAAGCATGGCTCACTTTTCCAGCTCCTGCAGGTCAAGGGGATCGAAGGTGTCATCCCAACCGACATCCACAAGGATTTTTATCCCTCCCTCAAGCTGCAATATCGACTGCGATGCCTTCGATGCGGATGACTGAGCACCGAGCAAAGGAGTGAAGGTGAACATCCTGACCGGACCGAATTTCGTCACGCGCTCCTTGGGGAGAGCTTCGGCTGTATAAGTGAGATAGTAGTGTCGCGAGGACGGCAAGATGCTCCAATCAAGTCATCGATACGAGAGGTTAATGGGAGAGACAGTCTAGTTATAGCGAGTTAATTGCACGTTCAGACAGGTCCGCTGGATTAGACACACCTGGCGCAGGATTTTGGACCTGGTGCCAGTCGGTCGGATGTTGTCGCTTTCATTGAGCGCCGGGCGATGAAGCCATCGCGGGTCGCGGTTTGTCTTGTTTGCATTGGCCGCTTTACTCTTCAAGGTTCTTTCTTTGTCCGCGGCATCGACCCTCTTTCCAGCCAACTGGCTTCAGTACTAGAGGAGGACGAATTATGACTCCAAATCTTGTCGCTTGAGCATTGGCGATGTACTCGAGTTTCAATAGCATTGGAGCGCGCCTTTTCTTACTTGAACTAATACACCGATCCCGATCCAGACCATGAAACACGGAACCTCTATTCCCCGCAACTTCACATCTATACACTGTATAAGGCAACTGCTCAGGCTGTCATTATAAGTGGATGAAAGAACATGGAACTGGAACATCATAAATAACTTTGAAGACAGTGGCTAGCCTAACAGCAGAAATCTCATCAATAGAAGTCTCAGTTTCTGATTCGTTAAAAGGCACTTCGCGTCGGAACCGATATTCGATTCGGTCTGCGGATCCGATATTTTGGTTATAGAAGTTCGGAGCCGATGGGAACTAATGCGGGGAGGATTTCTCAGGACTGTACAGGACTATATTGTACACCCCTCGGACATTATATTGTATCTGCTGTTGCGGCTCCGAGAATCGTGCAGATCTCTCACGTCAAACTCTTCATGCAGTATAAATTCATGGTTCCTACCTCCCGTCTTCATGGCTCAGACTCTATCAAACCACTGCAGAATGATCTAGTGTCTCTGCAATCTTCCCCAATCACCCCATTCCCTCGCAAATATACTGGCACTTCCTGCTTCATTTATCATCCTCCTGCACCGACATCAGCGATATGATCAGACCAGCTATTGTCATTGTCCCAGGCTCCTGGCATCGGCCGCAGCACTATCGGCGTCTAGTCGACGGGCTGGCGAAATTCAATTACCAGGCAGTAGGTGTGACACTGCCCTCCGTGGACTCCAGCCCTCCCCTCAGCAGCTGGGCCACCGATGCAGAGGCCATCCGCAAGGTCATCCTGGGCTACCTTGACGCAGGCCGGGACGTGATCACCGTGGCTCATTCTTTTGGCGGAATCCCCATGTCAGAAGCAGTCAAGGGCTTGGGCAAGAGCACCCGCGAAAGCGCAGGCCTCAAAGGTGGTGTTCTCCAGTTGATGTATATGGCTGCCATGGCACTGCCAGAAGGCCAGAACCACGTCGGGCAAATCAAACCTCAGACGCCGGAAGAAGAGGAGCTCGAACGGCAGCGGCAGGAGTATGTAGCGAAGCATGGTGGGATGCGCTTCACTGAGGTGTGATTGTTGTTCTCGTTCTGTCGTCGCAAAATGGCCCGCTTGGCTGACCATATCTTCTAATAATATAGGATGGAGCGATGATCGTGGACAGGGAAGCAGCGCGCGAGGTCTTCTATAATCGATGCGATCCTGCCGACGTGGAGGAAGCGCTTGATCTGCTAGGCTCGTACCCCGTCGGCCCGCTGTCCGTGCCAGTGACTTACACGGCCTATCGCGAAATTCCCAGTACGTATATTGTCTGCGAGAATGATAGGGCTTTGCCGCTTTCTGTGCAAGAGCGGATGATCGCTCAAAGTGAGGGAGCGCTGCAGGTTGAACGGTGTCAAGAAGGACACTCCCCGTTCTTGAGCAACCCACAGTTCATCGTGGATTGCGTCCGCAGGGCTGCTGGGGAGGATATCTAAGCTGTTTCTGCGATGGTTTCTGCCTGTATAATAGGAAATGTTATTGGTCATTGAGCTACCCATACTCGTGGATCTGAAATGTGATGATAGCCTCGTAACATCGATACTGATGCACATTGAGATAGTTGCTGATATAGGCTCTTATTGGTCACCAAGCGACAGAGTCAGCTGACTTCACAGTGAGTCAGCGAGGCAAGAAATCGCCGCCGGTTTTACCCGAAAGGGCAGTCAGTCGCTTGCCTTCTGGATCTATAGCTATGATGCAGGTCCAGCTCCAAACTTGAATCCTAACATTGCTTATAATCATTTCTTCCTACTAGTGTCAGTGAACTTCTATCTATACTCAACAATGAGCTCATGAATATCCCTGCTTCTCCTTGGAGATTCTGGTCCGAATGTCCCACATGCAAGTTTCGAGGGTGGTGAAACCGTCATTTCCCACTGCTCGGCGTCGCCAGAACACAAGCTGTGATCCATGCCGTCGCTCGAAGCGGCGATGTGTCATACTGTCCCTGACTGATGACGAACCCGCTGCTATATGTACCAACTGCAAGCGATTGAACCATCACTGCACCTTTGACTTTATCAAGTCTGTCTCTTCAAGGCCGAGGAAGCGCAAAGAACCAGCAGGTGTTGGCGCACAGCTACTGCACCTTAACCAGTCGCAGGTTCTCAATCAAAGGGATGAGACACTGATCAATTGCCTGGGAGATGGTTGCGAAGTCAATATTGGCACTAGCGATGAAGACTTCACATCGTGGCTCAATTTCGATATTGAGCTGTCTCGGAGCACCAGCACCGCTATATACGACCCGTTCTCAGCCTCATCACTGGACTCTTCAAGGGCAACAGAAGCGCTTGGTGAGCCATCTTTACCTTCTCCGTCGGCAGCTTCACGGGCAGAACATCAGTCTCTGTCAACCAACCCCCAGTCAATGCTCGTGGGCAGGAGTAGGAATAGCCCGATACGCCTGTTGAATTCAAAACTGGAAGCGACGGTGCTCGACGAGTGTCTTGCTTCGATCTACAATACCATCGTAAGGGATTCTGCGTCAAGGTTTATAGATTATGAGTGCAACCTTTCTGCATCGGGTCATCCCTATTATCTCGAAAGTAGATTCTCCGAGCAGGCAGAACTTGGTAAGCTGTGCCCTCAGTCTAAATATGGATCGAAACCATCTCAGAACCTATCAAGACTCATGACAAGCTCTAGGGGGCGCCAACAAGCACCTATCCTCTCAACTGTCAGCGACTCAGGGTATTCGACACCCTAGAATGACTATGCTGGGCGCTGTGCGTTTCCTAGATCATTTTAGTCACCTCTACGGCAACAAAATAAGCATCGCAGCTCGGAAACAGTCAGACACGGTTCTGAAAGCAGTGCTTCGAGTGTTTTCCCTTCAGTGGCTGCCCACATCGGAGGGGTGGTCACCTGCAGGACAGCACGCAGGCCGTGATGCTCTCATTGACACTTTCCATGACTCCTGGATACAGGCACGGTCACTTATCCAAGGCAGTTTGCTAGTCCCGTCATTTCGGGTGGTGTGTGCCATTCTTCTCTTCGATGGTATCGTCATTCCTTCCCACGCATACGACAGGCCAGACGGAACGACTGTCAGGGTGCACGAATTTCTCGACACCGGGCTGCAGAAGCTGTCCCGTCTGGATGATCTCGTCCGGAAGTATTGCCGTCAACTGGGGCCCACATCACTTTACGGGACCTTATTACATTCGAGTCTAGACATCATCCGCTGGGGAGGTTATATCCGGGACATTGGGGCCGCTCTTTTCACAGATCATCAGTGCAAGCTCCCTGAGCTGCTTGGTCACAGGAAAGGTTAGCTTCAGCCATTCATACACAATATCTTCTCAACTCGTCTGAATCGATTACAGTATCCCTGGAGAATAATTCGACACTACCGCCGTCAACCAGCCATATCTACCCCAGCGATCTCGATGCTAGTATCCCACGGATCTATCGCACTGCTGTAGCAAGAGCCTTTTCCATCTGGCGAATGATGATCAAAGTCAAGGATCTCATCCCACCCAACGGCACCACTAACAACAAACACGCACTTCCTCCCACATCATGGGAGATCATAGCGTCGACCATGACCGCAGTAGGCGACTACAACCACACCCTCCGCCCATTCATGGCGCATTGCATGGAGAGCTACGCCCAACTCTCCACCGAGTCCAAGATCTACGCATGTATGTCACCACGCATTGAACTACCAAACAGTCCCATCTACCCCAGCTACCCACACACCGCAGCCCCTGCGCTCTATCTACCCTGAACCTTCGCCCCACCAAACAACCGACCCAACTAACCTGCCCCTTTTCTCTTATCAGTGTCCGTCCTAACCTTCTGGGACCTCGGAACCCTGATTTTCGCCCAAACCCTAACCTCCATCCTCCACCACCCCTCCCTCAACCACGACTCCCCTTCCTCACTACTCCTCGTCACCGAATCACAGATCCGCACTCTCCAAGAGACCGCCGTAATCTCCATCGCCCAAGCGATAGGATGCTCTCTCACCCACCCGGTCACACACGACACCTTCAACCTGCAAAACGGATTGAGCGCGGATCTCCCCCTCACCGCGTATCATATCACCCCGACGCTTATGGTCACGGCCTTGCGTCTGGCGATCGAGACCAGCATTGAGCTTTGGCTCGGAGGTTCGGGGTCAGGGTCAGCCTATCAAGCCGGTATCATTGGTGGTGGTGGTGACGATGATGAAGACGATGATAGCGTCTGGCAGGAGCGGGTCGATGTTCTTGTCAAAGGGCTCTTGTCGTTAGAGGTGACCATCGGCGGATCGCAGGCAGTAGCGCCGGTACTGGAGGATCTATTGCGGAGGTATGGGGATGTGGTGTCTGAGTGTTGGAGCTGCGAGTTTTAGGAAGTTGACACCCGATGTCATGGTTGTATACTAGCTCCTGCAAATAGAAGTGTACAGCATCAGAAATCCCCATTCGCCACTTACTGTGAGTTCAACAGATCGATTACCAGTTTGCTCCCAATAACTTACATATATAGTGCACGACTTCCTATTCTGATGCCTACAGAGCCATAACGAGAAGGTTATGTACAACTGTTAAATCCAAGGATAGCAAGCGAACCAAGTATAGATACACACAAGAGATAAGAGATATTTGCAACATATCAGCAACCCACACCACCTTTCGTCCTTCAGCAGGTTACGACCATCTTGAATCTCCGCATCAAACTTCCCCAAGCCCTACTTCTTCTTCTTTTTCTTGTTCATACGACTAATCCTCTTACTCCTGCGACCCCTCCGCGCCGTCTGCGGAAAACTTCCGTGAGTCCTCGTATTAATGTAGAAAGCATCGCGCTTCGGAGCCCCCTTCGCAGCAGCTTGCGGGGCCTGATCGCCATCGCCATCCCCGTCCCCGCCCCCATCCCCATCCCCATTCCCATCTCCATCTCCAGGAGCCGCCTGCTTCGAACTATCCGCCGCCGCCCCGGCCGCGGCAGCAGCAGCAGCTTTCGGCGCCCTGCCGCGCTTCCTCTTGAGCGTCCCCACCGCATCCGCCGCGGGGTCGAACTTGCCCGGGAACGGCGGCAGCTGGTCGATCTGACCCTCGAGGCCGATCGTGGTGCGATCGTGGATCTCGACGCCGGACCACATCCTCATCCGGCGATGGATCCGCTCTGGCGGCCAGTACGCCTCGGCATTCTTCAGGAGCTTGTCGGCCGCTTCCTGGACCAGCTGATCCGTGTACTCGGGGTTGTGCCATGGCGATGTTTCCGTGTCAATGACACTGGTGTCATCGCTGGATATCGATCTTCTTGTTTCTTCCTCAAGTTCCTCCTCCTCCTCCCCCTCCTGCTCCGGGGCTGGTGGTGGGTTGGATACTTGCTGCTTGTCTTGGTTGGTGGGGATCGGATTTGGTCCTTGTGGTGGTGGTGGTGGTGCTTGCTTTGAAGCTTGCTGCCCGGCTTGATTGGTGGGTAGTGGGTCCGGTAGCTTGCGTGGTGGTGGTGGTGGTGGTGGTGGTGCTGCTGCTGCTTCCTTTGGGACTTGCTGGCCGGTCTGGGTGGTGGGTATCGGGCCTGGTAGCTTGGATTTGGGGATGTTTTCTTGGTTGCTCAACAGGGCAGCTAAAAGTTTGCCGGTGGATTGGTTAGTCAGATGGATTTCAAAGCTGATACAAAGAACTGTTGCCGTGTTTTGCCCTTACATGGTTGTGTTGTATACAAGCCGCCCTCGTCAGCCACCTCGGCGTGAGTTTCAGTATCCCCATCTGAGGGGCCTGGTATTGGAGCGGGATTAGCGGCTTCTCCGGGATCATCGTCATCGTACTCTGAGTGTATACACGGAGCAATCAGCATCTTGCGAGGTATATAGCACGCAAGCAAATATGGGGAACAGGAATGCAAGGATGCAAGGGATGTATCATGAAGAATGTGAGCAGAGACGGCGCAAATCTTTCGGTGCTAATCCTGGCAAAGAAACTCATCGGACAACCAAGAATCTTAGACTACCAGGGAAATATTGGCCACATTTGAGCTTGGGTTGGATCCTTTGTCCATACCTAAGCTAAGGTTGAGAGGAAGGGGTGATTTGCCGCTGGTCAAAGTTGAAAGTATCCTCAAATACACATAAACACTTCTTATCTTAGAATCTTGAACGCATACAGGAATAGACAAAGGAACATTGCTAGGAGCAAGATGATGACAACGAACCATATCCATTTGTACTCACCATATGAGGGAGAGGTTGCTTCAAAAGTCGGGGCTGGAGGTGCTATCCCTGGGAAGGGATTGCCGGCTGATATAGCTGACCCAGGCTTCGAGACTAGCATCGGGCGATCGAACCAACTGTACTGCGGGCTGGCAGCATCTGGAATGGCTTCCTGTCGCTTCAGGGACGGTCGACCATCGGGGGGCATAGGAAGTCGTGGGAGCACGTCCTCCCTATTCTGCATGAGGTCTGAAAATCGCTGTTGGATATAATCTCTCGCTTCTTCCCTAAACTTAGGATTGCGGAGGGCCTCTCGGAGCGCGTCATAGGCATGTCTATAGAGCGCTCGGTCGCCTTTCTGCTCGGAAGGAGGATCGAATTCCCAACAAAAGATTTCCTCGCCATTGAATTTGGGGTTCTTCGGGTCAGCACGTTTCTCCTCTAGGCCTGTTCCACCAGGGGTAGTTTCCTTAGGAAGTACCGTCCATGGTGCAGGTACTATCAACCACCGCGGACGATTATTTTTTTCGCCGAAAAAAATCTCAACGTTCAATCCGGGCAGTTTCGGGAGCCCTGCGTTGAGAGCCTTGCCATTTGCTATATCATACGTCCATAGAGGACTTTCAGGAGGCAATTCTCCCGTCGTCTGTTCTGGCAGTCTGGCCGCCATGGTGGCTCTATAATGAGTCAGGACGAGAAGCCAGAATAGATGAGGTTGAGTCAAGCGCGAGCAATCGATTTCATACTCACATCTAATATCTATCTCCTCAGACAATAAGATGAAGATGTGTACAACAGATGGTAGCTGTGAGACTCATCAATTGAGTCCAAATAACAGAGTGGGAGGATATTCCAAGTGGAAATTCAGCTTTGAAGTTAGGAAAATACCTTATGTATCGTTTGAATGAGCTCCTTTTTCTGCTGGCGAGCGCGAGCGCGAGCGTGAGTTTACTCTCGGTAGCAGGAAGTGTGGTTGACTGGAACAAAGAACGTTCTCGGGAGTCTTTCACTTCCCGGCGGTTGATATATCCAAGGTTGGAAGCAGAATGAGTGCAATGCACTAAACTCTGAGGTTTCTTTGTTGATTGCGCGGGTCAATGCCTCCGCGTACCAACTGGAGCAATGTTGACTTTGCTTCGAAGTGGGATAAACACAAAGCTAGCTTGATCTGCTTTCTCATGTCAGTCAGGAACATACTGTCTCATAGGGAGTATAACAGCTTGATCGAGCCCCAGATACTCACCCCAGTTCTTCTCCCATGTCAGTTGTCAGTGTGGGCAGCACGTGTGTGAAAACACAATACAGGAGGCCGCAAAGCTTTGATCAGAACCCAATGCATACCCAGTCCCTTGATGACAGCACCAGCTGGAGAAACAGATTCTAGTCCCGGGATTGAACACGCGTAATCCTTCCTGGAGCTAGAGTTGAGAGACGGACAAGTCCCAGAGGCACTTTCAATAAATTGCTCCTCAATATCGAGGGGGCGGGGGAAACACGCGAGGAAATAAAAGGTTGATAACGTCAAGGAATCCTTCCTTGACCTTCTCGTAGCATGCTACTTCCTTGCCCAGTAACCCTGATCACGGTCTTTTCTCTCGAGATCAGGTCTGTGCTTGGTATGGTCTTGTATACGTGGAATTCTTGCCCTATAAGGGTTATACCACACGAATCCTTCTCTTGAGCGTAGTTATTCTGGCCTGGTCGGGTGCTCGTCGTTCGCCTGCGGAGGATCCGGTCGGGGGAAACGGGGAAGATCAACAAAGAAGGTGGAGGGACAGCATTCTTCGGAGGATTCCTCATCGCACAATTGGGTGTTTCGTGGATCACCCACTGCTGTCCCAGTGCGCCGTTGATACTGCGGCGTCTGGAATGTAGGTTCATCATAAGTCGGTTTGACTCTCTTTGCTTGCTTGTTTGCTTGCTTCAACGAGTGCAAAGCTGGAAGGAAGTTCTTTCTTGTTGAGTACTTTCACCCTATTGCATTGATGTAAGCTGCTCATGTCCGAGTGAGAGAGGGGTCCTTCATGTCTTGAGGGGCTGTGAAAGGTAGTTGGAAAGGGAAGTTAGGAAGTGGCCGGATGATTTCCCCATCCGATGAAGTCGTCGTTTATCGACAACCCACGAGGGTGGAAAGAGAGGGGGGGTGAGGGGAAGACCAGTCCCAACGCCATGTGGAAATTCAGAGAGGCATTCAAGCAAAGAGCTCACCCCAGCCCTCATGCCTCGTTTTTGTCATATGCATTATGTCACCCCAGCCCTGGCGACATGTTTTCTCACATTCCTCACCTCCAGCTGGGGTGGCGTGAAAGAGTTATTGATAACTACGTTACATTCGAATGATCAATTCCTTAATATAACATCACAGAGAAAGGGGTCGGAGGGTCAGCTGGTCGTAGGATATGCGTTGATTTCCATCCAACATCCGACATCCTCGGACTCAAGCTCATGATCCTCTAGACACTGATGGTGACTGTCGCAGACTGTTTGATTTGCAGATGAGCCCCGGCCTTGGCTATGCACTCCAAGCAGATCACGGTGACCGATTCACAGATTTACAGTAAAGGGTAAAAGTACATTATTTGCAATTCGATTCACAGTACATAATCATAGCAACCAAGCTATACCAATGAGCCACTAGTTGCTGGTATGCTTGTCTCATGGGAATATACTCAGGAATGATATAGCATGATTCGCGCCTCCTATGACACCAATGCATAGACTTTCGCAGACACACGCTCATTGCCAGTACCTAGGTTCGTCAAACACATGATACCGATGGCCACGTACACCTTGCCCACGGAACAGGGCGGGGAATTGACGGCCCTTAGGGACCATCTCCTCGGGAATACGCAACTCGCTCTCAGGCTCAGGCTCACCAATCACAAATTTACCGACCTGGCGCACGTATCTGTCAGCAGGGAACGAGTTGAATTTACCAGTCAAGAGGGCTTACCTGGATCTCTGTGTCGGTGATAGAATCCCGACTGACACGGGCATAGCCTGTTCTCTTCAATTTCTTAAAAAGAATGTATTCGCACCATCTGTCCCAATCGGTAGGGTCAATGTCCTTCATGCCGCTTGTCTCGCTAACATATGTGTTGTAGTTGCCCTCAAGCGGCTTCGTGACGAGATAACTCAACAGAACCATGGGACGGTCCGATGAGCCCATCAGGTTAGACAGATATTCGGACTGCAGGCGACGATCTTCAGGGTCTTCCTCCTGACCCGAATGGAAGACAACGACATCGACCAACTCCCCATAGATATCGAGGGTAGCATGGATGGCGGGAGCAAGCTCGCCAACAGGGGAGGGAAGGAGGTGGTGAGTAGAGTTGACAATCGGGAATTTAGACAGCAAGGCAGATCCCCACGTGTGTTTGTTGGGACCAGGTCCAAAATCAGCGTACATGCCGAGGTCATCTGCCAGGAACTGGGTGATATCACGGTTGCCCATAATGATACGTTGGTTGTCGGACTCCAGCAGACCAATCACATCAAGCTCCAGCTCTTGGATCACATCACGCATGCGCCTCTCCGAAGCCCACATGTCATTGTCCAAGCCGAAGTGCACCGTCCAGATACCCATAGTAGCAACCTTGTCTTCCTTGTGATAGGGAGTGTAGTCATTCGTGGGGAACCGAAGGTAAGCAATCGAGATAGACAGAAGCTGGAGGGCCGCGAGCACATAGATAAAGTAGGAGCGCTGTCTTTTGCCGTTGGGGCTGACGATCTTGCTCCGTGAGTTGTGTGAACTAGAGACTGCAGCAGAAAAGACACCAGCACCAATACACAACATGGTTGTGATCATGATCCAGTCAGTGTGTTCTCTAACAAGGTATCCACCAGGGACGAAGGCGTAGGCAACAACCCAGACATGGAACAGCACGAGAATCATATAAACAAAGAAACCAAGTCCAAAGGTAGCCGCCGGCGAGTGCCGAACAGCAGAAGAGATGAGGACCGGGGCTACTGCGAGCAAGTAGAAAGCAAGGACAAGAGCACCGTAGAATCCAGTCCAGTGGCTGTAGCAAGTAAGGAATGCCGCACCGAGAGAACCGATTCCGTATGCCGTCCAGCTGCCAGCCGCGGCAGGATAGAAGAGACCATAGACAAGGCCGGCGCCCATGGCAAAGATGGTGAGGGCACCGTGAGGAGCCGCAATAGGTCCGCGCACAGGATATCCCTCCCAGACCCAGGCAATCATGGTGCTAGAATCAGAAAGAAGGTAGTGCATGACGAAGACCAACGCTCCGATACCCAATCCAGCCGGAAGCCAGGAGCCTTTCTTGCCGCTGGATGGCAGGTAATCACCTCCACTTGTCGCAGGTCTTCTGTAAGATCGCAGAACAGCCAGAATGGCAAGTAGAAGTCCAATTTTGTTCCATCCACCATTCTCCGCATGCATAATCGGCCAGACTGGGTTGTTCGTGGTGCAGGCGAACTTGGCAACGCTCGACATGATCAGACCGGTGCCCCACGCAAAGACCCGCGACTCCAGCCTGGCATTGTTTCCACGCTCAGCGTAGAGCGTGGCGGCCCATGTCATACAACTACAGACAACGCTGAAAGAAGTCAAGAAGAGCCGGTTGGCGGGGTCTTGAATCTTGTATGCTAGAAGTCCGGACAACGAAAGAAGATGGAAAAGACGAGGGTTCTTGACCACCGCGGATTTCAGAGCTGGAATGGCGAGAAGGATAGGTGACAGATATGAGACGATGGCAGCCTCGTATCCGGAGATACCCATATGCCAGAGAGGGAAGTCTAGTGCGATTAGCCATGCACGTTCCGGGGTTGTGTAACCGTCACTTACACCAAACGAGGACAGGAAGGGCAGTGCAGAGGGTCCAGAAAATGAACTACACTTCGTTAGCAAAGGTTCTGGGGCGAATCAGCAGAAAGAGATGTTTACCCCATTGTAGACTTCCGCAGCAGCATCGATGACCTCTGTCCAGAAGAATCCCTCGCCAAAGGTGTTGCCGACAGGCTTGCCCTTCCTGACTACGAGTCAACTGCAATGATCCTTGAAATTGTTGGAGAACAGGCTATACACACTCTTTTTCAAGAACGGAGTCCGCAGTGGTCTTCAACTGCCTAGATGTTTTCCCAAAGAGCTTAGATCACGTCTTTCAAGCGCACCACCACCGACTTTTTTTTTGGCAACTGTACATTTCTCTCTCCCCATCTCCCTTGTGATTTATTTTGGAAGCCACTGTACATACCCTCTGCTGACCCCCTTGACGTCCCTGACAACAATCTCGAATGCTTCGAAATCAAGCGCAGTAACCGCGTCGAATCCCACATCGAACAGAATAAGCGACCACTCGAAGAAAGCGTATTTCGTATAAGCTTAGAGAGGTTAGACACAAGCCGAGTAAGCTGCGGGTGCACTTGAGACTTACCTCCAGGAACCTTGTGCACTTTGTGTTGAATGAAGTAGTAGATCAATGGCACGAGGGTGCCGAAGAAAAGACCGGCGAAGATCTTCCGATACTTGACGGCCTGGCGGTTATTCGGGCTCAATGCGAGGCAGCCGAGGGTCCAAGGCAGAGTCGCGACCAAGTATGAGATCATGAAGATATCATGCCAGTCGTGATCATCAGTCGAGGTCACATATGTCCACCCTCCGCAGGTGAATGTCCGAAACAATCCGACACCAGCAACCAGCTTGGG